CGGTGACGGTTCGGAACCGGCAATCTATGGGTCAGTTGCGGGCCCGGCCGGGACCACGGTCGGGCCATGTCTATAGTTATGTTTTTTCATGTGTGTATTATCTTGATAATGTGTGTTTGTGTGTGCTAGTACCCTCATTGATAAGGATCCTCCTATAGTTGTGGATGGACATTGAAAAGTTGGATAAAGTTGTGTATATATTGTGAATTCGTGATAGGTTTTTTTAACACCTAAAGGTAATAGTCGCTATGGTGGAAAGTACATTTTAAATTAGTTAGTATTTATTTTTAGTAGGTCTAAGTCAACTAAAAGTCATGAATATCACATTTAAAAGTTTTTTTTAATCGATTATGCGTGCTTGTTCAAATATAAATACGCTCAAAATGAGTTTTTTTCGATTAATTAGGGTTAATTATGATAAAGTTGGATGGTTAGTTGTTAGTGGAATTTTAATTTTATAATAATATAATATTCAAAATAAAATAATTAAAGTTGATTTTAGATAAAAGTATGAGAGAAAATGATGTGAAGTGAAGATTAGTTAAATTTATACGTGTTGATGAATAGTGAATTATAATTGAGTGGTGTGTGTAAGAATGATTGGTTTATATTATTTAACTATATTGATAATATTGAGGATAATTAAGTTTGATTAAAGTTGAGTTAAATTTAGATTATTAATTGATTGTGAGTGCATTATTTTTTAAAAAAACATGCTCTTAGTAATTTGACTTTTTCTGCATCAGTTCTTTAATACCTGACCTTGTATGGGCCAGTATCTGTGTAAACACTAGTTTTTAATTAGTGTTGTAAACAAGCTGACCCATATTAAGTCACAATGTTGCTATAAAACCAACTGGTTGGTTCCCTACATGGAGCTATCTAATTGGGTGTTGGTTCCATAAGGGAACCAACCAGTTGGTTTTATAGCAATATTGTATTAAGTCAAGCCGACCTCGAGATAAATGTTTAAGAAATTATGTAAGAACTTGGCTTATCAAGCTTAACGAGCCTTTACGAGCAGCACATTCACTAACTAAACGAGTCTAAACGAGCTTGAGTTGAACTCGTTTATGGAATGAGCCAAATGAAGCTCACAAGGGAGTGGATACATTCAACAACTCTAGCTTTAGCTAATGTTGTGAATTAAGTTTAGTATTCCCACCATCTAATTGCTTCCGATCTTAAAGATATATTCTTTTTTTTTCGGTTATTAAAAACCAATGTAAACACTAGAAAAAGAATTAAAGAGACACTTTCCACATTCATTCCCACTAAGAAGCAATAGTCGACAAACCTAATAAAATGGCCAAAATCATCAAAATAAATAAAATGTGACTATTAAACTATTAATAAATGCGCCAGAATCATTTATACCAACAAGTGTTGTGCAAAATCGTTGAATACAAAAATTGAATCAACGATTATTAAGATCCATTAATTCTTGTTAGAAAAAGGCAAATATATGCAAACATCAAATCTAATTGCCAATAGATAACATTTATACAACCTTTTCTTGTCAAAATGTTCACGAAGGGCAGCCTATATTTTAGATACCACATTTTTTATTAGCTGAAAATGAAGCAAAATTCTAGTCGAGACCAATATTAACGAGCATAACTATTTTTTTTTTTCAATCGGGCCAATTAGAAATTTACATGGCATGTTGAGCTCGACTAGGACTAAACCCAAATGATTCTTGTTTGATTTGCAGCTGAAACTCGTGAGAAGTAAAATTTAGGTGTCGACTTATGTTACAATAACATAAAGGATAACGTCGACTTTGACATAATACACTCATGTCACGATTTTATTACATACATCCACATTTTCTTTTTCACGTCATTTTTAATTATCCACTATATCATCCCATTATGTTAAAGTAGTTTTATTCTTAGCCGCCTGACCAATCGGCTCGGGCTACCCGAGCCGACATTGGACATTGGAAAACCCATGGGATGGGTCTCTTTGCTTAGCTGTGCCCCGACCCGAGTAATACAAATCAATTCCGAGGCCCAATTAATTTACGGGTCATTGGTTAGCCCACTTGAAGCTTGCCGTTTAAGCTGGGGCTGTAGTTTATAATCGAATAAAGGATACAATAGTCCATTTCAGGTTTCAGATCTTTTAGATAAATAAATACAATAGTCCAAGCCCATTAAAAATCATTGAGAGGATCACTTGTTATTAGTCCACCACGAGGAATCGGGCTTGGGCCACGATTAATTGTTCAGTTTCGGGCTGAAACTCTATTTGGATAGCCCAGTCCATTGGGAAATCATATCTAAGTTGAAATCAAGAAAACAGCTTTGACCATCATTAGATAAGACTAGTTGTTAAATTGCCCCTTTCAATTTTGCTAATTGGGTCGATTTTATTAGCAGCCACATATTTTTCGGCGTTCAATTTTGTTTTTATTGAATTTGTTTTGATATATTATATTTAATTTGACATTTATTTGGTCCCTTATGTCATGAGTAGTGGTTACAACACTAAAATTGTGACAAAAAGAATATAATGTTGTCATCCATTATACAAGCAAGTCAAATTAATCCCATGTCCATGGTATAGCTTTAGTGACAATAAAAATCAGATCCTTGTTTCTTTTTTTTTTTCTTTTTATTTCTTGAGGAAAAAAATAATGGAGTTTGGTTTCTTTATAAAAGACACACACACATATGGAGAAATTTTAACCATAATGTGGGTTGTCTCGTTATAATGCTTTTAATAGAATATATAAAATGTCATATTTTTGTTTATGTTATTCCCTAAAATATGGGTTTTCAGTGTGAAAGTAATGCATATTTGTTGGAAAAGTATGATTGTCTAACTGTTAGATTTACCTAACAACAGTCTTATTAGTGTTAGCAAATAACATGCAAAACTTAATCTTTCAAAACTAGGACTGCAAACGAGTTAAGTCGAGTCGAGCATTGGACGTATCGAGCCATGCTCGATTTTTATCACATGTGCTTGAGCTCAACGAGCCTTTATTGCTCAAGATTCAACTCGACTCGAACAACAAAACACACACTCAAGGTCCGCTCGAACGTGATCCCCTTGAGTCTGCTCGAGTTTGGCTAGAAAATTTCAAGGAAAAAAGTGTCTAATGATGGATATTTATGCAGTTTTATGCACACTCAAGCGGTTCATTCGCTAGAGTGTACAAACTGCAAGTTCGAAGTCCACTTTGAATTCGAAATGCTCGAGCTCGAGTTTAACTTGACTCTAGCGCTCGTGAGCCGCTCGACTCCGTCTACAACCCTAATTTCCAAAACTCAATAACTTAAAATTCTTGTATCCCTTGTAATTTATCCTATCAAGCAACCTTTGATAAATAGCTCAAAAATTTATCTTCATGAAGCTATAGACACCAACCAATCTACATATCACATAAATTCTGAACTCAAATTTAATAGTAACATCAACATACCCAGTATATTCCCAAACAGGTTGGATGAGATGAGCTTATTAGCTTATTACTGTGTAATATCACAAGAAAGCCAAAGTGAGAATACAAGTTAATTAGCCTCCCTATCATATCACTCAAAGGCTTGAGGCAAATTTATATTAATTTGCAGTCAACAACACACATGCTACAAATTCCATCAAATTCTTGTAGATCCAAATGTAATTTCACTGAAAACCAATACAAGAAAAAGGGACATCTTGGAAGAACCTACACAACAAGGCAATTACAATACATATCATGTAATAATCTAACTTTCACCTAAACCAAGCCTCAAATTCTCCCAAGAACACATCCAAAAAGAGGGGCCTTTGACAATTTGAGTTGAATGGAAAAAGATACACTCTCCATAATGATTTTTTTTTTTTTTTTTGACACCACCAAAAGATGTACAAACAAAGGAGACAACAATAATCTTTCCAATTTTTTTTTTTTTAAATAATCATTAAGTGTAAAGAAGGCCTTGGAAAGTTATTATTCTGCCCTATGTACTGTGGTCTTGAATAGAAGGATGTAAAGCTTGTGATCCAAAGAGAAGTACATAAAACCACCCACTGAATGTGTCACAAATGAACCGAAACCGGTCCCCACTATGCAGTGCCAAGCCGGTCCATAGACCCCATCAAATTCCTGCAGAAAAAGCAACACAACAAGAAAGGCTCATAACTATCTGATCAAAAGGTAGTACATACAGATCAATAATAGTTTCAGAAAGAAGAAAAAAATATATATATATATATTAAAAAAGTCACCTCATGTGTATGTATTAGTCAACAAGTATGATAATTGGCATGACTTGATTAGCTTATAGGAGTGAAAAGAAGAATCTATCATGATGTCAAATGAACTTGGTGGTTGAATCTTTAAAATAATCAATCACCACATGGAAATGGAAATAAAAAAGTTGTTAAAATTGTCATCTACTAAGACAATAAAAGTAATTAGTGATTACATCATACCTAATTACCTTTTAGAGCTAAGAAAGCAATAATCTAATCAAGATCTAAAAGGAACTCTGTGATTAAAATAACACTAACACATATGAAAAGGACAAATTATCAAAGCCCCTGATCAGTTAATCCCCCCCCAACATGATTAGTACCATGATTTAATCACCTTTAAGTGTGGAAGCAAGAGTCTAATCAAATGTAGCAAGAACTCAGATATTCAATGAATGTCAAAGCAAGAATCTGTAAATCAATGAACTTAATTTCACCATGATCTAAAATCCCCAATTTTGAATGTCAAAGCAAGAACCTGATCAAAATATAAGAACTCAACAATCAAACTAACAACAAAATACACAAACATATGCATATTATAAAAAACCCATCATCTATATGATCCCAACCAGCTGACTGCAAACACAAAGTCAAAGACCATAATCAAAATGCATAACAAAAAAGCACAGAACTAACATAATATCAACAATCTGTTTTTCTTGAAAAGAATAAACTAATCCCATGATCCAATTTTACCTTTTTGAGTGTGAAAGCTAGAGTCTTGGCGGTGAACTTCTCCAGGCTATCATAGGCCTTCCTCGCACAATCCACGGCGTGAATCTGCATGAACGGCGGCATATCCACCGACACAACCTTCACACCGCTGCTGGACAAGAAGTCCGCCAGCTCAACCTGCGAGTTGCAGAACGACCTCCTCCTTCCTCCATTGACCACCGGCGGGAGACAAGACACAGAGCTTCTCCTCCTCCCCTCGCCCACCCCTTCTTCAACTCTCTTCGACTGGTCGATTCTCTCCAAGCCCCTCAAAATATCCTCAGACGGCACGAAGGACAGATCTTTCTTCGCGTCCCTGTCGCGAGACGGCTTCCTCAAACCGCTTTTCTCGTCCACATTGGGTTTCGTGTCGAAGTAGTAATTCCTCTGATTTTTCTCCTTTTTCTCCAAGATTTTGACAATGGCCGAGCTGAGGCTGATGTTCGGGTTCCTCTCCTTCTGGCTGCTCGATTTCGTCAGGGTGGTGCAGGAGGAGTCTGAAACTGGAAAAAAGGTGAGATCTTTTCTGTGGGCCGCGACAAACGGGTCGGGCTGAGGGTGCGACCCGGGCTTCGAGGCGAGCTTCCTGTGGCTCGCGTAGAGCTTCGAGAAGCGGTGGGAGATGTTCTGTATGGTGGAGGAGGGCGGGGCCGCGGCGGGATCTGGGAGGGGGTGGACTTGCTGCGGCGGCTGGTGGCGGAGGTGGTGGTTCGCGGCGGCGGAGGATGGTTCGGGCCTGGGCTTCCTCTGCGGAGGATCCATTGGGGTTTGGAGGTTCTGTGGCTGCTATTTTCAAGGGGATAAAGTGAAGAGAGAAAGGGGCACACTTTTGTGCTTGTGCGTGTGTGTGTGTGTTTTGATGGGTTTTGTGTCTTTCTGAGATGTACCACCGTTTGGATGTGGACAAGACGTTGTGTTTATGAGATCTGTGAGGATGGGGTCGGTGCTAAAA